GAACAAAAAAACATCACCATCTGGAGGACTCACGAGCTGGCTTCGATGCTCTTGAAGGCATTCTTGAAGATGCTTGTGGGGGATCTGGAGCGCAATGTTCTTGACGGAAATCTAAAGAAAACCTGGATTTACTTCTTCTGGAGATCCATTGTTCTTGAAGATGAAGACGGTTGTCGGTGATTTTGTTGAAGATTCATTGAGGATTTCTGGAGGTTGCTCTTGATTGGAGATTGTTCTTGGGAAATCTTTGAAGACCGTGGAGGCTTCGTGAAGCGTTTCTGTTCTGGTGGTTGAAGATCGAGTACGCATGTTCTTGAGGTTGCGTTCTGGAGATTTTGGATCTTGAGGGATGAATACTTTGGTGATTCAAAGAGCTTTCTGGCAAGCGTATACAGTTGACGATTAGGTGATGATTCCTGGTGATGCTCGTGGAAGTTCGTTCTGAGGATGATGAACACTTGAGGATCTTCTGGCGATTGGTGAATGAATGAACACCGATGATGATGAAAATCTTGATCGGTTTCTGGAAAACGGATGAACATCTCATGAATGTTCTTGATGAGCTTGAACGAAATCTGGAAATTCATGCAGAACGTTGAAGATCGGTGGAGGCCGATGTAATTTTTGGCGACGGTCATGGAGTTTGATCGGAGGAAGATGAGGGTTTGAGGTTTTCCGGGGTTTTTTGGGTTTTAGACGATGAAGGTTAGAGGAGGAGGATGAAGGATAATCGGAGTCTGGGTTTTTGGGCGTTCTCTGGTGGGGTTCACGGTGGCCGCCGGCCATGCATGCCGGCCGGTGGGGTTTTCAGGCGTGGTGCTGGTGTGGAGGCACGTGTCAGTGATGGTGGAGGAGGTTAATGCATGCCCGCCACGTGGGGACTGGCGTGGCAGTGAGGTGAAGGAGGCTGAGGGTGCGTGGCGTGAGCTGAAGATGAAACGTGGGGCCTCCTTTTTGCTACACGTGGCTTGCTGGATATTTATAAGACTGAGAAAACCTGGAACGTTCTAGAATCTTCCAGAAGCTGCTGGACAAACGTGGACCCTTCTGGACCTTGCATTGAACTGATTTGGACTTTGCAGTGAACTGGGCTTGCTGATTGAGAATGAGGCCCAACGAAATGGATTAACAACAAAAAACTGAATTGAAAAGGCTAATTAATGGACTATCTGAATTAACTACTGACTAAAACGTGATTAAATGCTAATTAAGGAGACTGATTGGACTAATTGGAATTAAGGCTAATGACTAATGAAATGAAAATGATTAGGACAAGGGATTAAACCGAAAAACAGATGATAACACTCTAATCAAACATTAAAATGATTAAAGTTCTAAACTCTAGTAATATCTACTTAAGAAACTCCATATTAAAAAAGAATTAAAACTATTTAATTTCTATATAAAAGACTATAAATCCTAAAAAAAAGTCTGAAAATCTATTAACTTTTATTTCTAAAATCTATTATATTCAAAGAACCTATTATATTCTACTTTAAAAAAGAAAACTATTTATTAGAAAACTAAAATTCTATTTAAACATATTAAAAGAAATTCTATAATATTCTACATTATTCTAAAATGATTAAAAAATCTAATAAAACCCTAATAATAGCCAATAAAATCCAGAAAAATCACAATAATTCCTGAGGGAACAAAAATAGCATCGAACGACAAATAACACTGCGAGAGCGCAACAAAATAACCGGTAAAAATAAACGGGCACCGAAATATCCCAAAAATACGATTCTATCTATCTAAACTGATAAAAACCACCTGAGACGCGAGACGAGGGCTGTGATCCCGATAAAGTCAAAACAAATGAAAAAAATGCACTGTATGTAATATGCAGATGCGAATGCGATTATGCGTCGAAACCTCGAGCCAGATACGAGACCCGGTTGGTCAAATTTTGGGGTGCAACACAGGCCCCCAAAGATCAGCAAGAATGTAATCTAGGGATCCATGTGTTCTTTGCTTGCCTTTGTTAAACTTCGCCCTACAAGATTTACCAAATACACAAGATTCACAAAATTCCAACTTTTCGACTTTGTCACCTCCTAGCAGGTTCTGCTTCCCCAATTCGACCAGACCTCTTTCGCTGACATGGCCCAATCTCATGTGCCATAATTCTGTCTTCGACATAGATTTCGTGGATGCAACATTTGTCGAACCACTTACAACCTCAGCCTCAAGGGTATACAAGCCTTGTTTCTTCACGCCTCTCAAGACTTCCTTCGACCCCTTCATGACTCTTAGGATACTTTTCTCTCCTTGAAAAACATATCCTTTTCTGTCGAATTCACCAAGAGAAATCAAATTTCTCTTCAAGTCAGGTACGTATCTGACTTTAGTCAATAACCTTATTGACTCATCATGGAGCTTGAATCTCACAGATCCAATACCTGCAATTTTGCAAGATTTGTTGTTTCCTAACAGCACAGATCCACCATCTTGATCACATAGCTCCTCGAACAATTCTCTGTTTGGAGTCATGTGCCAAGTGCAACCTGAATCCATAATCCACTCTTTCCTCGAGTCGCCACTTGAAACCACAAGAACATCCGATGAGTCGAAGTCATCTTGAACAATGGCTGCATTGCCATTACCTCCATGATCTTTCAGGCGTTCAGGGCACACCTTTCTTATGTGACCCTCCTTCTTACAGTGATAACATCGAATACTAGATGTTTCACCACTATAAGACTTCTGTTGACTTTTACCTTTTTTCTTGTCGAACTTACCATCCTTTCGCAAGAATTTTCCCTTAACGGCCAAACCTTCGCCCACCGTCGAAGGTTTATGCTCCTTTCGTTCGTTCAAGTCCTTAGAATACAAGGTTGATTGAACTTCTTCAAAGGTCAGGGACTCCCTTCCATACAAGAGAGTTTCTTTGAAGTGAGCATGTGTTCTGGGCAAAGCACACAGCAACAATAGTGCTTGATCTTCATCATCGATCTTCACATCAATATTTTCAAGATCAAGAATTAGCTTGTTGAACATATCCAACTGCTCAGCCAACACTTTGTCTTCACTCATCTTGAATGAATATAAAGCTTGCTTCAGGTATAGTCGATTCACCAGAGATTTGGTCATGTACAAACTTTCAAGTTTCACCCATAATCCCGATGTTGTAGTCTCCTTTGATACCTGTCGAAGAACCTTATCACCAAGGCTCAATAATATTGCGTTGTGGGCTTTCTCGATCATGCTCGTCTTTTCTTTTGCCGTTAACGCAGCGTCCATGGCTGCCTCACCCTTCAACGCTTCCAAACAACCCGGCTGAACCAATAGGGCTTTCATCTTCAAGCGCCACAGACCAAAGTCGTTCACTCCGGTGAACTTTTCAATCTCATACTTTGTTGAAGGCATCTTCTCCACGCTCACCGCACCAATTTGTTGTGAATCGGATACCTTTAAACAAAGTATAAACGGTTTCTTAATGATCAAGAAACTCACAAGGGTTAGGGTTAACAAAGAAAACAAGGTAAAACAACAAGGAACAACAAGGATTGGTTATTAAACTGCTATTCTTTCCTTTCTCTTAGAACAAGATTACAAGTATACAAGAATAACAAAATAACCTCTCTCCCTTGAAATTAAGATTTATCTTCCTATTTTTCCTTATGCCAAGATTGAGAAACTAACATCCTATTTATAATAAAATAGCACATGCTAACAACCCTAGCAATATTTACTCATGCTAACAACCTTAGCAATATTTACTCATGCTAACAACCTTAGCAATATTTACTCATGCATGTTAGAACAAACTTCGACTACAACACGCATTACTTGCGAACAGACTTCGACCACACTAGAGTTCGATCCAATGTCTCACAGGGTTGAAGCTGAAGAAAATTTTGGCCGTGCAAATGCATGATGAGGTCATGAATTTAGTGGGATGTTTGCTCACTATGCTTGATGCCCCTTTGTTATATTCTTTTTCAGAGTGAGGCATAAGGAGACATTTTCATTTCATCTTTCATTTGGAGTAGATGACGATCACCAAAGACAATGTTTCTAGCCTATTCCATTTTCTTCAATTGTAATTTCTTTACTCCTTCATTAATGAGTATTGAGCTAACTATTATGAGTACATAAACACACTTAGACATTTCAACTCGAAGAGTTTAAATATAACATGTGTATTCATTTTTGTCTCTCTAGGCATTATGATAGTTAGGCATGATTGATGAAGCATGCGATGTTCTAAGAGAGTGCTAAAATATATATGCACCATTAAGAACATGCTACTAAAAGGATTCTCTATCATGTCATTGGAGAGAGTATCTCATTTGAGACAATGCAACTTAAGTTTTGGTATTTATGCAAACTTGTGTGGTTTTAAATTGTATCCCTTTTTGACAAGCGTGATACATATTATATCACATAGTTCTAGATACACAATAAGATGAGTCTCCAAGTATGCTTAACATGTAGTCTTTTAAAGGACACGTGCATAATTAACATTTTCATATTTGATGAAGTCATCTGGTCACCATAAACATATCACCAATTGCATCAAAAGTTTGATGATATTGTACTATTTGAGAGAGTATACTGTCTGCTTACTTTTTTGAGCGTACAGGTCTCTATCTTATTTAACTAATTAAATATTATAAGTTATTAAATTAGAAGTTTGATAGGTTTATAGTGTGTGGTGTGAATAGAAATTCTACGTTGGGCTTGAGTCATCTTATTTTCCACTTCTAAATAGCTTAATTACATGATAAAGTATGTTCTTTTTAAATATAAGGAGGTGTGGATAAAAAATATTCTTTTTTCTCTATGTATTTTGTTAATATTTTTTTAATATACATGTTCTTATTAAAAAATAATTACGAAATAAATTAACTCTAATTTTACCATAATATTCCACTAAATACTAATACTAATAGTAATAACTTTCAAGTTACTCCAAAAATCAAAGGGAGAAAAAATGTTTATTATAGGGTTTTGCCAAATTGAACCATGAATTCTAAACCCCATCTTCCACCATGAGCGACCGTGACCGCCACCGCGATAGAGAAAGAGAGCGAAGACGAGACAGGGGCGACCACCGCGATCGCGACCGTGACAAGGACGACCACCGCGATCGAGACCGAGACCGTGACCGCGACCGCGACAGAGCACGCAGCAAGAGATCCCGTACACGTTCACCTGACCGTGTACGCTCTCGCCACTCTCGCTCCCGCTCTCCCGTCGACCGATCCCACCGTCGACGCCACCACCGAACGCCTTCCCCTGACCCTCCCAGGAAGCGTCACCGACGGGACTCAGTGGATGACGACCACAAAGACCATAAAGACACGAAGAAAGTGGTGTCTGACTTTGTTGATGGAATTGCGAAGGAACAGAAGCAGCAGAAGCAGACGGAGAATGGGGAGGAAGTTGAGGTGAACGAGGATGAGTTGGAGATGATGAAGATGATGGGAATTCCTATAGGTTTTGACTCCACTAAGGGAAAGCCGGTACCTGGCGCTGATGTAAGCGGGGTTAGAGCGGTCACGAAACGGCAACCGAGGCAGTACATGAATCGTCGCGGTGGTTTCAATCGTCCATTGCCTGCTGAGAAGAATCGCTAGGGTTTCTTTCAAATTTGGAAGATCTGTTAGAGAAGGTCTGTTCTATTTTCCCAAATTATGATAGATTATGGTTTCTTTCGAATTTTAAAGATTTTCACTTGTTGTTAGGTTAGGGTTTAGCTCAATTTGGCATATGATTGAAAGTTGAATTATTTTCCTCCTGCAGACTATGAAAATGATTAACACTGAATATCTTCAATTGAGTTATATGGAATTGGAGCTGGTTGCTATTGTTTATGTTTTTTTTACTGTCTCATTTTTTTTATGTATTTTTTACTGTCTCATTTTTTTTATGTATTTTTTACTGTCTCATTTTTTTTATGTATTATTGTTTAGCATTCATGGTAGCTTTGGATTAGCTCAATATTGTTGTGGATACTGGTTATCAGCGATCTTGTAATGCTTGAGTGTTATCGATTTGTTATATCTTTCTGATTGATCTGTTTAGTATGTTGCAAGTTCACTCCGGCACTTTATCGGTATTGTTACACTTAGCTAGTATGTTGAGTGTGGGGCTGTCATTGTTCTTCCTCCTTCATTGGTCATTTCACCCTTTATCGGTATTGTTGCACTTAGCTAGTATGTGATAAGTTACTTGTAACAATAGCGATAAAATTTTACACTTAGCTAGTATTACACTTGGCTAGTAAAATTTATAGGAATCCTCAGGCTAACTAACACAACACACAATGGGTAAAATTTTACTCCCTTGAAATAATCCCCTATAAATCGCCAATCAAACTTATCCTTGTATTACACTATTTTCAGATGAGAGTGGTGAGGGCTGAGGAGTGAAGATCAAATGCCATTCTACTTTGTTTTTTTATATGTAATATGTGATAGTTAAGCGCTCTTCTCAAGTTTGAATGAAAGATCAAATACCATTCTAGTTTGTTCTTTTATGTGTAATTTGTGGTAGTTAACTGCTCTGTAACAGTTTGAGAGAAAATTTTACAATGTGAGGCTAAATGTTAGCGGCTCTGAAGCATGTGTACTTCTAAAATGGTGAAATACCAGGACCGGGTACGCACCCGTACCCGGGTACTCCTACCGTACTCTTGGTACTTCCTTTTTTCTCATTATTCGATTTTGAATGAAATTTGTGGTTTTTTCAAATATTTATATAGTATATTTTTGTATTTTAATTTTTTCGTTATTGTATCTTAACATTATTTTTTTATTTTTTCAAATTTTTATAGTGGTGATTTATTATGAACCTAACAATTTAGTTCTCTACTCATACATTTTATAGAAAATTCTTATTTCTTATCAACGTACCCATACCTTGATTTTTTTTTAAATGTCGTATCCCGTGCCGGCAACGGTACCTGCATCGGGTACCGTACCCGTACCTATGCATCATAGGTTAGCGGTAAGAAGCTAGCAACAAGGTAAACTCAGTGTTGTAGAGAAGAGAATATTAGAATGGATTAGTCGTTGCACAAGACAGTATAGGATTAAGAGTGAAAGTATTAGAGAGAAAAACTCGGTAGCACAAAGATTGTTAAGTCTCAAGCTTGAGTGATTGGGCACATTTTTAAAAGGCATGTAAAACACTTGTTAGGAAGGTAAACCATATCAACAATAAGTATTAGAGAGAAAAACTCGGTAGCACAAAGATTGTTAAGTCTCAAGCTTGAGTGATTGGGCACATTTTTAAAAGGCATGTAAAACACTTGTTAGGAAGGTAAACCAAATCAACAATAAGTAGTGTAATAGTATGAGGGAGTGAGAGGCTAAACAACCATAGATCAACCAGTGTGTGATATTTGGATTCATAATGTATCATTGTTAGAATGGTTCTAGACAGGACTTTATGGTGTCCCTTATTCATATAGCCAATCCTATTTTGTTGCAAAAGGTATTGAATGGTGGTCTATTTTCTCCTCCTATGTTCCAACTTCCAAGTCACATACGTTCTAAAAGTGCAGCATTTGTTGTTGGTGCGGAATGACCCGTGGGAGCTGAAACTTTGGGGTTTTGTAGATCAGAGCAAGGGAAAAAGAGTGAGGGCAGCAAACATAGCAACATAAGGCAGAAGGCAAATGTGCAGTTCACACTTGAAAAAATGTTACCAATAACTCTAGAAAACAAAGAAGAAAACAAGATGGTTCAATTCAATTAAGTGAATTTAAATACATCTATAATTTTATTCCCAAACCTTTTTAAACTCGACTGCAGAATAGTGATAAGACATGTCATAGGATGAAACCATGTTCTAGATATCATGTTGAAGTAACAGGTTTTATATAAAATTAAAAATATGATTATGGTGTGTAATACAGTATAGTAAACTTGATATTAAATTCTTAACACTCACCCCCTTTATTGAGATACAAGACTCATACTAAATGAATAGAGAAACCATGAAGCATATCAAAATACTAACTGTAACATAGAAACTAATCCTATCCTAAGAGATAATCTAAGATGCTCTAAAGTCAGAACTGATCCTATGAGATTAACTTCAATACTCTAATATAATATCAAGACATTCTAAGATATTTTCTTATATTCCAACAATTGTTTGGAGCATATTTACATCTACTAGAAACAAACACCATAGAATGCGAAGGCAGGTGAAAAATTCTCGTCTACCTCATACTTGGAAGTGCAATGTAGTGGATGATTGATGTTTGTTGGAGGGAATTTGTGTGCTGTGAACATTAGGGCAGGGAATTCAAAGTATCACTGTTTGTTATTTATGACTGTAGAATAAACTTGTCTTTCCAAAAGCTTTGTTTAAAATTGGGAGACTATGTGAGTTGTGGCAGGGTGTAAAGACAAAAATAACTGTATATTTTGCTGCTACGGAATATTAATCATTTATTTGGCTCCCTGCTAGAATGCATTTATTTGATTTCTGAGGTTTTTTATTCGGGGAACGATGCTATGTAGTGTGTCCTCTTTAGAAATGTACTGTGTTGTAACTTAGATATAACATGATTGGCAATAAGGGGAGTTGTTTTTTATACAACTGCTAAAAAATCCCTGTTTCTACTATATATTCTTCTTATGCTGATTTCCTGGTGTGGATGTTTTTACTTGTTTACACCTATGTAGTCACATGTCTTTTGGCTATAACTTTTGAAAAAGTTACACCTTTAATATCAAATATAAGTAGATGTCTTTTAGCTGCTGGTTTCACTACAGCTTAATACGAATTGTTTTCTAGGAAATTTTTACCAATGTTCAAATAACCAATCACTTAATGCTTATGAATTAAATGACGGGCCTTCTGTTTTTACTTTTCGTTCTTGTAGAAAGTATATACATTGTTGTCTTTATTTTACTTGTTTTTGTATATTTTATGAAAAAAAATTTGCACAATGAAACATTCTCTTTGCTTAATCAATTTTTGCCTTTGTTCACTGCATATAGGTAATATGTTTTGGTGGCGTGGTTCAATCATAGGGAAGGTTGGAGCCAGAAACAGTTGATGGAACTGGAGAAGAAAGATTGCATGAGAACCAATGTTCCCGTGCAATTGGTTTCAAGCATGTTTTGGTTTTTGCTAATCTAATATCTAGATTCCTTTTTAATTGTGGGTTTCTTTAAAATATTTTTCATATTTGTAGGTCGTTTTGAAATTTGAAGTTAATAATACACTGACCTTATCAATTAATTTAAACTTAGAGTAAATTGGTCAATTGAAGGTAAGAGAGTGTTTGAAAGTAATTTGCATTCAAAGAATTTGCAAGGTTTTAATGCATGTAAATTTAACTTCATGTCATTCAGACGCACATGATTTCTTTTAGAATTTGGGAGTTTGTCAAAAAGCCATGTATTGTTTGACCGTAGTAACCAGTTTTGGCGACAATAATACAAATAAATGAATAAAAGGGTTGAAGAGATGAAAATGTTTTACAAGTGTGTCCATCCAACTTTGACGCTTGCAATTGACATTCTTTTATTTGTTAACGACTCAAGGACCACATTGACACCTAGGTAGGTGAATCCTAGGAAAGCAGGGGCTGGTTTTCTCCGAAGTAATACAAATTATTGTTTATGATCCTAAATCATGCATGACCATATACTTTATTATACCTAATAAATACTATTTGCATATCTGCCAAATCAAGGGATAAACGATAAAATGTAATTCTATGGGCTGGTTTTGTGATTCGGAATATTTTTATTAGAGTGGTGAGGTCGTACTTATTTGTTTATTGGACATAATAAAAGAAATGTTTAAATCATGAGCACCATTAACGCTATTATACATAGCACAAGCATAACATTGTTAATGAACACTAGTCACATACCCGGACATTTGCATGGGTAAATTTATTCGATACAATTTAACATTATCTAGATATGTAAATTTAAAATGAATTATTTAATTATAAAATAAATAATAATTATATAAATTCAATTGTATTAAATAATTATTGGAAAAAAAACTAATAAAATACAAGAAGAAAAAAATTTAACATTTGAAAAAAGAAATTATAACTCTCAAATAATGTAATTATTAATTAAAATAAAGAATTATAGCTATTGTCATGATAATGACCCGTGAGATATATGGACGGTTAGTTTTAGTTTTATTTTAAATGCTTTTTATAGTATAATATAATTTTGTAAATTTACAAAGAAACTTTTCATAAAAAATTTAAATAAAAATTTAGTTTGAATAGTTATTTTTAATTTTATCAAAAAAATTTAATATTAAAATTTTAAAAAATTATTTAATTTTAAAACTATTTCAAATAATTTTTCATATAAATAATTTTTAAAATACAATTTTTTTAAAAAGAATTATAATTTTGACTATATTTTTAATATATATTTATGTTTTAGAATATCAAAATTTATTGAAAAAACAAATATAAAAAACATATAATATTTTGAAAAATAATTTTATAAAATTTATTTTTAAAAATTACAAAAATAGTTTTTTTAAAGCCTCAAGTCTAATAGCATAGTGAATTATAACGAAAAGCATAAGCCAGAAAACTCAGCTAAATATTTATGTCATTTGAAATGTATTTAAATTA